GAAAACGACTAAAAACGCTGTATTCTGCTGCCAGGCCGTTAGATGGCGATGAAACACTATAGACTGAACACGTAATCCGCATGTGCATGACGTCATCGTCTTCAGAGATTCACGTTTTTGTTGTTTTCACGGAGACCGTTTTCAAAAACTTGCACTTTGAAACCCGGTTTCAAAAGTTTGCATTTTCAGGGACTCAAAACACTGTTGTAGTGTAACGAGGCACGTGAATTTAATTTAATGCTACAAAATAAAGATACAGGTAGCACTGCAATATTCCATAAGAAAACAAGAATGGTCGATTTTGATTTCAAGGTGACTTTAATGGTACTAGATGATTTGTGGAATGCATTTAAAAGATTATACTTTCAAGAAAACATTTGCGATTGGTTTGTAAAAGGTGTGTTTTGTGTAAACGGATCAGTTAAGTGAATAATTCAGTGACTCGCTCATTGTCCCTACCTACTGGTCTACCAATGAAACGTTGTATTATGAAGTGTAATAATTAAATAAGCCATCAGTTGTATCTTGAATTTTTTTTTTTTTTTTTGTAATAAAAACATTTCCAGAGAGAGCCAGACTGATCCAAGAACTGTGATATTGGCTATATTTGTCTTTTCACACTGTACTCGTTCAATACAATCGTGTTGCATAACACTATCACATTTGATAGCATGTAGTTGCAACTAGTTAATTCCCAGACAGCAACATAGTGTCGGCCCAGATCCGGCCCACATCTATACACGTGGATTCCGCATGGCCCGGATGTGGGCCGGATCTGGGGCGTCGCTTTGTTGCTGTCTGGGTTAGTTGCCACTGGTTATTTATTTTTCTTCTAAAGCTAGGAGAAACGGGCAACCCCGTTGAAATATCCAAATGGGCTGGATTATACGGTTTCTCATCAAACCTGTGTGTAAAATCGTATGAAGCCTTTATCTGTAATCCGTAATTCAAAAAGCATCCCAATGCTTCCTGAGAAAACTGAACTTGTTTGGATCCCAAAATAAGAATCCTACGTACTTCCCACATCTCCTCTATTATAAGGATTCTTTGTTGCTCCATTGCCTGCTTGTCTCTCACAACCAAGAACAGAAACCGCCTTCGAAACTTTCAACATCTACTCTGGAATTGAATAGAAGTGGCCCTACAATGTCTCATCTCATCCTACTAGAAAGGCCCGTGATATAATGTGGGACAGCTCACATGTCCTCCTCCAGCACATCCAGCTGCTCCTTCTCATGCGTCAGAACCAAGATCCTCCACCAACAGCACAGAGAATCATTCATACCCGTGGCTCTCTGTTTACTGAACAGAGCAATCGCAAAGGACCCTGAGAGCTTGGCACATTACATCAGTCAACTTTACACAATTCCTCTGCAGTGCAGGACTTAGATGATCATTCAACCATTCCATACAATCCGGTTACACTATTATCTGATATGTTTACCATAATAGTTTCCTAGAATCTTTATTTTTATTCAGCTCACATAAGGCAATTATATAACAGGGGTATTCAGTCTCTAAATTAATATAAATTAGTCTCTATTTATAACTGAAAATATATTTCAGCCTACTTTATCTTGTCTTATCTAATCTAAAATAAAATAAAATTCACTATAAAGAACCTTTTATGCATTGAAAAGTTTCCATGGATGTTCTTCATTGAACCATTAACACCAAAAAGAACCTTTGATTCATCTATTTCTATTATTAATTTGAATAGCCACGCCACATATCTCTGTGTCTTTTAGTGTCTGCTAAATTGTCCATTGACGATTATCAAAGTAATTTAGGGCACGCTTACCCTACAACAATGTACTAAAAACTAAAAAGGTTTTCCTTTGCGTTTTTTGCGTATAGAGACGACAATATTGTCCGAACGATCACCGTTCGCACGTATCCACAAACACAACTAAAGACGCTGCATTATGCTGCCAGGCCAGTAGATGGCGATGTCCCTGTGTAAAAAAACATGGCCTGAATACGTAATACACATGCGCATGACGTCTCCATTTTTTAAATGTATTTTTTGTACAAATGTATTTTTTGTTTACAAAATGTTTTTGTAGTTTACACGGAGACGATAACGTATTGTTTTCAAAAACTTTCACTTTGAAACCCGTTTTCAAAAGTTTGCATTTTCAGGCCCCCAAAGCGCTGTTGTCATGTGAATGAACGTCTTCTGCGCCGCGTCAATATTGAATACTTCTGCATAGTATGTCTGAATTTATATATTTTTTTAAAACAGTAAGGTGAAAATTTCCTGATGACCTACTACTTCTGGAGAAATTCTGAAGTGTGCATATGATGGACAGTTGAGTTCACAATCCAACGGGAGAGCATTTGTGGCAGGGAAGCAACACTGATGCTGTAGTAGGTCTCATGACAGTAACAACATGGGTTGTGGATGTAGTACATACGAATTTCAATCATACTACACACATTCACACAATATAAAACATACTTTATTAATGTTCGCAAAGTAAGTTTCAAACCAAATGTATTGAATACTGTAGGCTACAGTATACGATTTCAGACGTAGACCAGGTTCAAATTCTAAGATAAATTATAAAAATACCAGTGGAAGCTTTTTATACTTAATGTTAAACATTGTTCAAATGTATTCAAATAACACAAGTGTGAGAAATAAAGTCATAAAGTTGCGGAAATGAATACACTTTCCTAAAAAGACAACTATGTAGCATACATGACTATACAACTATACAGCTGCAATAAGGTGTTGAAAAGACGTTGCCAGTGGCTGGTTTCCACCGAGGGCCTTTCAGCTGGAGGCCCGTGAGCGTTAGAGGCCCCATTGGCCCAATCCATAATCCATCCTCATGCGTAAATGCTGATATAAGCTCTCTAAAGTCCATACACAAGAGATCACAGGGGGTTTTAAGACCCAATCTGATCAATGATTGAGACACAAAGCATGAGTAGCTCCTCTGACTCGTTTTTACTGACAGAGTCTAGGGCGATTTCATCCGTTATTATTAAAAGAAATACCTTTAATTCACACTAATTTCCCTCAGTACGGTTTATAATTGATCATTCAAATGTTTATTTATTTTGTCAGCTTTTTGTTTTTGGTCACAGAAATCAACGAGTCCTTTTTAAATCAATGCAAAAACAACTTTTTCGTGCTGAATTTAAGCAAGGTGGTATCTAGGTGAATAATTTCTGAAATGTTATGTTTAAATATGCAAATTAGGCATTGGCACATTTAATGTGCACTAACTTGCCTACCAGAACAGAAATCTGATTACTGGATAAAGCTAGGTTCAAAAGTCATGTTGCATGTTGCCTACTCCCTAAAGGGACATGGTGGGAAAAATATGGAATATGGATGGGAAGAAAAAATATATTTCAATGTTTTCGCGTTCCCTCGCAAAGGTTTTGCGTTCCCCTTAAAAACTTTATGTTCTCTCGCAAAGAAATGGTGCGTTCAAGTCCTACTGGGAAGTTCGTATTCACGAGTTGGGAGTTCGTGTTTGCGATCCCATATAATGGGGATTCAGGTGTGTTTTCATTTTTATGTTTTTAATTAATTTATGAAGCCACTGTAAACAACAGATGGATCCTTCGTTGCCTTGCCTATCACAGAATTAATTTAACAACGCTCAGTCCGACTTTATGGCCTTCGAAGGATGCAGCCTCTGAATTGGGACACAGCTGTAGACGTCAATGAGCAAGCGCACGTGTACACTAAGTTGCCTAGCTCGAACCAATCACTTATCGTCTTCTCCTTTGTTGTATATTTAAAGAATTTAGTTTGACCACTTAGATTTCCATTCTTCTCATGTGATTATCACTCAATCACAGAGCTTTAGTTCATCCAGTTTCCGAACTCCAGATCATTTATTTAGAGACTGATTGTACATGCATGTATAATACATATTCAAACACAATAATAAACTTTATTAAACTTATACATATAAAAAAAAATGATTCACAATATCATACTCGTTTCGTTGTTTGACAGAAAATAATAACGCTTTATGCTGCGGTCCAGACTATTCAAATTCAGAATTTGGATTTTTCCCACCTCGTTTCGGATGTAATGTCTGGAACGCCACTCAAAGTCAGACATTCGACCTGTGAACTCAGGGTGAATCGATCAACCCCAACCTCATAAAAACCTGTGGGTTTTTTTGGGGGGCATAATTGACCAGTGTTGGGGGTAGTAACGCATTTCAAGTAATGTGAGTTACGTAATCATATTACTTTCCCCAAGAAACTAGTAAAGTAACGCATTACTTTGAAATTTACAACAAAATATCTTAGTTCCTTTATTGACTAACAGCTCTCCTGTCCCCATGTTGAGAGAAATTAAGAGTAAGTGCAGAGGTGCTGTGTTGTAATTCCTCAAAATGAATCAAAACAGTGAAATGCAAACTCAGGATATTCAATATTATGCAAAACTGTGAACTTTCTTGTCAGAGTAGTGCCCTCTACTTTACAGGTTTGAATTTCCTCCAGCCTGAGGCTTATTCATTTCACTTGTGGTGTGAAAGGGCCTTTACATTTGCCAAAAATAGAATAACTTTTTTGTTATTAAAAAACAAACAAGAAAGCCCAGCCCAGATGAGAAAAAGTAAAAAATAACGTAACTAGTTTTCATAAAGTAACGTAATTAGGTGTTTAGGGAGTAATGCGACATTGTAATGCATTACTTTTAAAAGTAACTTTCCACAACAACACGATATGCTCTTGTGTCGTGGCGACATCATGTGGTCAACGTGTGAACCTGGAACTCACTGAGGGGTCTGAAGAGGGACATTTAATTTGGGATATTCCCAAATCCAACCTCGTCTCACACAGCAGCATTAGCTACTGTCCTTTGAAAATAGTTGGCAACACTGCGCCCATTTGTCTGCGTCATCATGCTCCACCCACCTCTGCTATGCGCCGATTCCCTGCAGACCCGCCCACTCAACCCAGTCATCTGAATGTGTGTAAGAGTGTGTGTGTGTGTGTGTGTGTGTGTGAGTGAGTGAGAGAGAGAGAGAGAGAGAGAGAGAGCGAGCTTCCAGCATAAGGGCCGAACACTGAGGTGTCAGCGCACCCGGACACAGGACAGCCATGGCCCTGCTCGATCTAGCTTTGCAGGGGTTCTCCATCTTCGGATTTCTGTTGTTTATCGTCCTCTGGCTCATGCACCTCGTGTCAATCATCTACGTGTAAGTGAATGCGGCATCATTGATTTGAAATAGACCACGAAACGCGACGCTCAGAACGCTTCCGTTATTTTCAACGACGCTGGTCGTGTAGGCAGATTCGTTGATTGTAACGGGAGCGTTGTAGACTGACGCGGCGCGTTGCAGATGGGGTGTAGTATGTGTCTGTCTGGCTAACAGGAACACGGGTTTCCTCTTCAGCGCCTCGCTGTTATTTCCGCGTGAAAACATATGTATATCTATCGAAATGTTCATATTGACTGTATAGCTGGCGGGAGAAGAACTCGTATTAATATCATACACACGTTAGCCTCTGGCTTGTCCTTCAGTAATCTCGTTTCTTGTCGCTAGCGATGATCGTTAGCATAGCTACTGCGCACTGTCCGTGTTATTTTATACGTTAATTTGCGAAGTCTAATGGGTTTTGAATCACTTTTGGGGTTCATTTCTCAAAGGTCTTTTATTAATTCTCAGTGGTGGGAGTTAAAGCTACTTCAGTTAGCCTCACCAGACAACCGGCTTTCCTGGTTTAAATCGAATATTTAACTTACACATTCAATGGTTTTGTTTAGGTATGTCATGTTTTGAAAGCTCGTGCTCACCAACACGTTTGCATTCCATTGTTAAAATCCTCAGTTTCCTGTAAAGTTCACCAATGTTGTTAATTATTCATAACGTATTGTCTCCTAATGATTATAGTATCAAATAGTCGTATATCTACCCATCCCATATGTACACACAAATACCAGTCAGAAGAGCAGTATTATTTTTTTTATGAATGCTTGAGACACATTTCAAATTCAGGCGTTCTTGAGCATTTATGAGAAAAAAATTAAGTCAAGTGTGTCTGATCTTCTGACTGATAGTGTTTATCATATGATAGGCCTACTAAGGCTATAATGACCTGAACTTTGGTAACTAAGGAACTTTGGGTCGGGAGTTTCCTCCACCTGCAACAATGTGTCATGTGAGTAGGCTTTGCCTCTATCATGCCCTGATTCTGCTACAGAATACACGGTTTTTGGAAACTAGACTTCGTGTGTGACTTTTTTTCTATTCTGATCCGTGTCAGACTGGTTAGAGAGGCTCTTTTAGGGTCGTGTGTGTCTTACAGGATATTTTTTGGACATTTGCAAACTCCCAAATGATGTGTTCATATTCACCTGGCCAATGCAAAATTGGCCAGGGTTCGGGAGAAGGTCATCACGGGTTATTCGACTCATTCAAACGAGTCTCGAGACGTCAGCTCCCTTTGTTCATGTGTTATGAAATGCAGTTTCAGGAAGACTGTAGCAGTTTGACCGTTCTTCTTGTGAGCGTTGGAGTTGCGGTTTTGGGTTCCTAAGAATTGACCTAGATCTCAACCATCCTATGCAGGTTTATAAGACATCATACACTCACTCTTAAAGTGTGTGTTTTCATTAAAGCTGTGGAATGAAGAGCTCTTTTTGAAGTTTGAAAGTCGCAGGGATTTGACCATCCACTTTTTTTTTCATGATGTTTTTAATGGGGCTCATGGTCTTTCTTTGAGCACATAATGCCACACAGCTGGTCATGAGTCCAGCACCACGAGTCATTCATGAGGTCATTCGCATTGATCTGCTGTGAGACCAGAATGAAAGGACTGAATTCCATGATCAGGTTGTACCCTGGGGTCAACTGCTTTCTTTGTAATAGAAAGTAGTTCACTTGTTGCCGCTCGGGCACTGATGGGTATCATTAAGTAAGGGTGAGCGATATACCAGTAGACTCGATTAAACGGTAGAAAATTTTAAACCGGTAGAGATAGTGGACTGTCAAACAAGTAGAAATTGTGATGTTTCAACCAACTTAAATTTTTTGATTTCTAACTGTTAAGAACCGCGTTGATTCAACATGGCTTATATGATGCAACATCAATCTTTTTGCTCAATGTCGGAGATCAACATTGTTTCTATGCCGTGAGAAACCTTGATTATGTGATGATTATATGCCACTGTTATCTGCGAAGACTGCAAGTATACATGCCTCATGTACATTGGGCAAGCAGAGGTGAACTGCCATGTTTGGTGAGATTGCGTATGTTTCCTCTCTTGCAAGCAATATTCTTGTTGCATTTGTGGCAGAGCTTTGTCTGAATCGACTCTAGTGAAGTGTAACCACACTTTTGTCATGTAGCTCTCTTTGCCTTTGTCACTTAAGCAGGGGCTCGTGTTGTGTGTGTGTGTGTGTGTGTGTGTGTGATAGATACAGACTGTGCCAGAGAGATCTCTCTTCTGGATTGCAATTAGTGAAAATGCGTCATTGACAAATGTCTTAATGTCGCAAATTAGAAACGGTTGGTAAGGTAACATATATATATATTTTTTTTGTACATGGAACGTCCACTGAAATGAAACGGGGTGCATTTCAATCAGAGAGAAAAGTTCTAACGCCTTAACATTCTTGTATATTGTTCATCTGGTTGAGTAATTGTTCAATGGCAGCAGCACCAGAGAGACGTTAGGGTGCAGAAATACAGGTTCAGTGATGTCTCTGAGAACTGAGATGACACTGAGTTTCAGTAGTCAGGTGTGGGGATCGTGTGATACTCGTCCTGTGGGAACCTCGCCCAAGTGGCGTCCTCCTTTATGTGATGCGTTTCCTGATTCCTCAGCTCCAGCGCCTCTCATGTGGTATGTGACGTTTCACCCAGTGTGATAGGATCTGTTTAGTAAAATCTTTTTTTTTTTTTATGTAATCCTTTCCTCTTTGCATACAGTAGGAAGGTTGTGCATGTCATGTGCTCATAGGATTGCCACAAAGGGGAATTACTGATAGCTTCCTACTAGTAGGGGTATAACGGTACACGAAACTGACAGTTCGATACATACCTCGGTTTAATGAAGTCACAGTTCGGTACAGCAGGGGGGAGAAAACTAAACCTTTATTTTATTTTATTAAACAATAGTAATAATAGTGTGTGTTTTTTCAGTTCGGTTTGAATATTGTCGCACCCCAAGGTTTTACCAGATGTTCACTGATCTACTCCAGACCAGCCCACAGCCTCGTATCTATGAGTCTCTTTTGAAGTAAAGATGCGGGGAAATTTAGGATGAAATTTTGCTGGCAATAAGGTCCATTGTCTACTGTCAATAGTGTAGTGATATATGAAGCACAGCTCACACAGAAGACACAAGCTGCCTTCAGCTTTCAATGTGTCAAAGCAGTTGTGAAAATCTGCGTAGGGAAATCTTTCGCCTTAACACAAACTTGATAAAGGAAACAATGCTTTATTTTTAAAGGCGAGTTTCAGCCTTTGGGGCATGCGTGTATGAGTAATCAAACGAGATGAATTCCTAATGGTTCATTAATTTCGTCATTGTTATTTTAGGAACGTGGTCTTTTTACTGGAGGTTTGGCGCACTGGGTCTGCCCATTGGACTGTTGCGTTCCCATTCCACTAATGGTCTGAGGCGGTGAGGTCGTGTTCCCCCCCATATTTAATAGAGCGTGAGGGAGGCCAACACCTCCAGCAGGAGCGTCTCTCACACGAGCGCTGAGGAAGAGCTGCTCCCAGAGCTTTTAGATATCCCTCGTGTGCTGAGCTGAGTAAACGCATTACACATGCATGAATAAGATGCCTTTCTTTCCTTCACTAATGTATGTCATGATTTTGTAGGTCATCAAGAAAGTGCTCGTAATGTTTTAGCCTTTTTTATTGATGGTAAACCGATTTAAAGCAAGGAATGCTGTTCATTTCTCACAATGTTTGCTACTTTACCATTAAGCGACTGGCATTTATCGATAGACTACATATAAACCGATAACCGATTAAGAAGAAAATTGAATAGCTGTAACAAATATCGGTTAAACTGATTATCGGTCTCTATAATTTACATATCTATGTATAATAGAATGTTATACTTCCAGTCAAAATGTATTAAGTCAACTGGGATTTCCACTTAATCAGATATTTTCAAAAATGCTGATTATAAAGCCTGGCCTATATATAGGCTATATATATAGGTCTATTACGCAATAGAAACAACAATTTATGGTGGTTTATCTCCCATTTTCTTTTCCTTTTCCCTATCGCTCCGTCTTTCTATTAGATGGAGCTTGACATGTTGTTAGACGTTCACAAGAAAGTGCACATTGATGTTTTGGCAGTCAAGATAGACAAACTTATCTCTCAGAAGCAAACATGCTCGGACAGCTAAATCTTTCCTCCAGCTTTTAATGGCTGTGTCGGTCTTGGAAGCTTCTCCGCTGGTTCTGTGGAGCGGCTGGCGAGTGTGTCCGGAAAGACTCCAGACCCTTCAGACGGGAACAGATAGGAAGTGCACAAATGGAGTTGGTGCCGGGATGGCTATTCAAATTGCCCAACATTGAAACGCCTCTCGGTTAACTCAACATTACCTGCGAATTGTTTCCATCAAAGCAAGACCGGTACATGATCAGTTCTCAGAAAGAATACTGTCTTCCAGGAAAGCTTTGTGTGATTTGCATCCTGAAACTGGGCCAGGGATGTGTTCGTGAAGTCATATCTCTGTTCAAAATAATTATAATGGGAGATGGCCACTTGACCCCATACACTTTGAGCGCCGTGTGGGTGCTTTTTTTCTCTCATCAAAGTATGACAATTGTGTGAAACAAACAAATATCCGTAACTTGGGAAACTAAACCAGTTGGATCAGCTTCGGTACATAGATGAACTTTCAGCTGCCTGTCAAACTGCAAACAAACAATAGATCAGTTTGAAATAATACACCTTCCTAATGCATTAATATGTGCATGTGCTGCAGCTGAGTAACCAGAATCAATATGCACAACATAGACCTGTGTTTTTCCCTTTGATATTTCATTATTGCATCACAGCCAACTGTGATTCTCTCTGTAAATGATTACAAAGGTTGATTTTGATCATAATTGCAAATGAATCCTTAGGAACCAATACAATATCTATATCTATATCAAATAAATATCAATATGTAATCATTTTGCATTTGTTTTTTTATTCATCTGCGTATGTATTCAGTTCTTTGCACACTTCTTAGGGTGCAACGAATCGAGCGTGTGTTGCTGTAATTCCACAGTATGTTTAGTCTTCAGACTTTCTCTTGTTTAACAAAAATGTATGTGAATTTGTGAAAAGTTTGACATAAATTACATTTTTGGTACGAGAATAGTGATACAATATTGCAATGTTTTGAAATATTGATTGAGAGTGCAATATTCAATATGTATATTTTGAATATTGACACAATAACCAAATTCTCATTATACTATAAGTATTTTATTTAATAATTTAAAGAAATGTATTTTATTATTATTATTTATGACATTTTATTTAAAAGTTTCTTGTAGTTATTGATAGTCGCAAATTCATGTATTTGTTTGTGGTGGTCATTTGTTACGGTCAAGCTTCACATTTCTCAATTTTTAGAAAGATTTTCTCCAAAAAAGTATTCAAACAATACGCGACATAAGTTGATTTACCTGTAATTGATACGGTCTTTGGGTCCTTTTCTTTTAGAGATGCACCAAATGTTCTCATATGTTGATGCACCCAGTAATAAAAAAATCAATAAACGATTTAGCTGAAAAGTGTGAATATCTGTAAAAAATAAAAAAATAAAATCGGTTCAACCGATTATCGGTTTCTCTACCCTTAATGTCACCAGTTGCTTAACCACTTGGAAAAAAATGATAAATAAAGAGTAAATGTTAAGAAGTATTTGCTACTGCTAAAGTTGGCCACATATACCAGCTTCCCTGGGATGCCAGAAATCATCCGCATGAAATTCACACCGGATGGATTTATGAAACGCACACAATGTCATTATTAAAAGCTGACCTGTATTTCTTTCTCTCTCTCTCTCTCTCTTTTCAGCCGTCTTCATCTCAACAAGAAGACCCCAGACAAGGTGCCGTACAGCAAACTGGCTGGTGTCTCGCTGCTGAAGCCCCTCAAGGGGGTGGACCCCAATCTAATTAACAATCTTGAGACCTTTTTTGAGCTGGACTATCCCAAGGTAACATCCTCTAAGCTCTTTGACCTCTTCAAGTTTCTGACAGTCACGTTATTATTATATGCGTTTGCTATTATGTGTTTGGAAACCGAAAGACAATGAAAGAATGGATGTTCTTACCTTTTTAAAGATGAAATATTTCATTTAAGCAAATATCTCATACTTTAGTTTGCTTTTGATTGTGTTAAAAGATATCATGCATCATTTTCTCATTTATTCTTGCACACATCCTGTGAAAACCACTGACGTCCTTTCGTGATGTTGAGACCTTTTTAAGAATATTGCAAAGACTTCCTGCCTCTAATTAATGAAACCCAATCTGAGTAGTTCAGTTTTGTGTTTGAACATTTCATGTAGTTCAGTTAAGTCTTTCCATCGTTGAATCAAACACGTTACAAGCTCATTTCTGAGTTCTGACTCTGTTTCAGTGAATTAATTCAGGGCTGTGATTTGTTTGGCTTCATCTCTCAAAAATGTTCATGAAAATGTTTTGGTAAAAATGTATGTGGATAAATACAGTAGATAATGTGCATAAATGTACAGTCAGTCGGACATTATTGCAAAACAAAACCAGATGGAAACAATTATTTAAATTCTCATTGTTTACATAAACAACAATGTTGTTATCCTGCTATAATACTTTCTTTTTCTTGTGGCCACAGTCAGAAAGTGTATGTTTTCGAACAAAAAGCTTGAATTGTACCAAGCCACCCACATAGAAAGTAGGAGATACCTAAATTCCCACTAGTACCACTGCTTTGCATTTATGTAGATAAAGTTTATGTTCTCAGTTTACACAATATTCATGCCTTACATTCTTAAGGCACTTTTGAATAGATGTTTAAATTTTCCTGGCAAATTTATGTTATCCGAAGCCCATCCCAAAAATCACTTCAGGCTCTGAGCGTTTTCAGAGGTAAAACTAAACCTTAATGAATCTCACAAAAACATGTCCAGGTCACATTTTCCCCCATAGTTATGCAAAAATAAGACATTGTATTTTGCATAAAGAAACTAAAGCTTACTTTTAGCATTATTGCCGTAAAAAATATTGTTAAATAAATATTATTACAATTTAAAATATTATTTCTATTGTAATATATTTTAGAATGGAATTCATTCCAGTGATCAAAGCTGTATTTTCAGCATCATCACTCCAGTCTTCAGTCACATGATCCTTAACTATCCCTAGAAATAACTAATTTCTGATTATCAACAGTTTTGCTGCTTAATACTTGTATGTAAACCGTGATTCTAGAACAGCAATTCTAAATTAGTGTACATTTTTTAAAGCAAAATATACCATTACTTTTTATGATCCGGATGTATTCTTGCTAGATTTCACGAGGTTCCCCCATAGGAAGTTGACTCGGGTTTGGCTGTGTGCTTCAGTAATGAAGTGGTTACCGTAGACCTGAAGGAACCGTGCAGGGTGCGTCCCCTGATAATGCATATCTTTGTTGCTGAGCACCGCACACCATCTAATGACAGTGTTTCTATTTTGCATCCTGACTTGAGCACGAAGCTTAGGATAAATCACTGATGCTTTTCTAATGAGGAGCTTTTCCAGGTGGGGCGGCCCTGAGAAACAACCGATTTCCCATTGGACGATCAGTGCTCTGTTGTAAGCCATCTGTCAGTGCTTCTAAATTAAAAATGAAATAGATCTGGTGTATAATGGACCAACCCTGACCAGAAACTCCAGTCCCGTCAACCAAGTAGTAAAATCTTGTACTGCTAAGAAAACATGCGCATAAACTACAATGGAAACACATTTATCGAATAAATCCCTTGAAGCACAACAAAAAAACACTCGTGTGATTTTGCCTCAACGGTGGATGTGATTGGGTAACTGTGATAACCCAGCGAACCAATCGCATCACAGCATCTCAAACTGAAATGCCTGAGCCAAAGTCTGTCAGGAGAATGATTTGGTTTAATTCCCTCCCAGAAGCGTCTCGCATGATTGTGTTCCCAAACACCAGCATCCCAAACAAGAACATGACCGCATTTATCAAGTTTTATCTGCGCTCTGAGACTCATTTATGATGGAGGGATAATGGAGCCCCAGTGGCTTCCCTGATTGCAGCAGCTTCCATTATTATTCGATATTTTGCTCCAATTTCCCATTAAGCTTTGTACTCTTGAGCACATGGGATGGAAATTATGCTTAATTCGCAAGTGTTAAATTGGCAACTTTGAATGGAAACCTAGCGATTGAGTGCGTTCCACTGATTAAAGTTTAATGGCGACTCTAGCGCTGATGGAGGAGGATAAACCTGCGCTCCACTCAAGGGATTTGGGCCGACGAGTATGACCGGAGATGACGGGGTGTGTTATTTCTGCAGTGGTGCGTTCAGACTCTGCAGATGGGCTATTCTGCTCTACTTCCCATCACACAGCTGTTTGAGCAGCACAGATGTCGACTCCTCCTGCTGCTGCTTGTTGGGTTGGAGAAGTGCTTCCCCTGTTTAGGAGCATTCCTTGTGTTTTTTCAAGTGAACAAGATGAGGTGAAAACACTTATAAAGCACTTACTGTGACCAAAGGATATCTAGTAGTCATGTAAATGATAAGAACATCTCCCTAATTTCCTCTTGAATGGATTCCAAAACGAGCTATTTCCTTGTCCACGCTGCACTACTGATGCCACACGATCTCAACCAATCAGAAGATATTGGATGTTTTTGATGCAACAGTTAGTTTCAGTCCATTGATCTGATTGGACAAGGAATGTTGTGCACTTCTCCCTTATCTGTGTTCATTGTGTTCCTGACAAGTCTGTATAATTCTCTGGAGCTTTTATTCCCTTTATTGTAATGGAAGCATACTAAATTCGTATGCATTTTATTGATGCATGAGTTTATTGGTGTCGCATTATGTTGGATATTTGCGCTTGCTGATTTCTCCTATTTTAGATTATGGCAGAAGTAGAACTCTGTTCTGTAATCTTTAGCAAATGATTGAACATCTATTTTTCATACTGTACTCTACATTATAACTGTGTGATTCCTAAATTCATTTGTAGCATTTTAAATAGTTGATTTTAGTTTTTAGTGTTTTATTTAGTTTCAAGTTATTTATGCAAACTATGATATATTTCTAGAATGGGTTGTAACATGAAAAATGTCATTATTGGTATTAAAGTATTAAAAATACTAAAGCTTTGCTGGCCTTAAGAATTGAAGTATTTTTTGAAGTAGGTTTTAGGATAATATTGGATAATATTACAATTAGGGCTGTCAGTTAAACGCGTTATTAACTGCGTTAACGCAAACCCATTTTAACGGCGTCAATTTTTTTATCACGCGATTAACGGTCTTTTTGGCCTAGCAAACTTTGTAGTTTTTTTTCCAACATGCTTCATTTCAATGGCTTGCGCCGCGTGAGGACGTTTTGTTGCTTCGTCGACCAAAGCACAAGCGGATCTAGCTAGACCGGAAACAAAACAACAGGCACGACACACACACTTGTTTGGGCTTGCGAGCCGGCAAAATAGTTGGTTAACGCTACATTTTAAGTGGATGACGAGCGCGAGACGCCGAAATGGATGCCAATAAGATTCTGAATGGAAAGTTTAAATTTAAAAAGTTGCCAAATGGTTCCATTGACAAGACCAAAGTGAACTGTGTGTTTTGTCGTTGTGACCTGAGCTAACATCGCAGCACGTCCAGTCTGAAATACCATGGCCAAGCACACACACACACACACACAGCTGATGCGAATCCTCCGCCCCCTCGTCAATATCAGGACCTCGTCATATTTCTTTCACCCTTTTATTGATGGACAGTGTTACATTGTGTGAGATTATTTGCTCCAAGTGAGAATGTGAGTGTGAAATTGAACACAGTATATGTCAATGTTGTTTTCAATAAAAAAAAACATTTGCACAAAGCAAGCCGATCCACTTTTCCATGTTGATAAGAGCATTACAATGAGAAAAAATAATGGGACAAAAAGATATCGAGAGACATTTAGAATAGATAAAAATGTGCGATTAATCGCGATTAAATATTTTAATCGTTTGTCAGCACTAATTACAATACTTGTAAAGTGAAGTAGCTCTTCAAGACCACACAAGCCAATTCAGCATCAACATTACTAGATGAGTCCATATAAAGAGGCAAGTTTTCTCCAGTTCTTTTAAATCAGGCCTAATCGAATTAAAACAAGTGCAAATGCATCTTTAGTTTCTTTTCTGAGACATTGAATAGGTTCCCTCTTTAGCAGATGCCATGAAGCTCTTGCCTTATGCAATTACTGGACGCATTAACATTTTCAGCCAGTTCTAGCTTTGTTAAAAAGAAAAAAGCTTCATGTCCAATTAAATTGTTCCAAGACTCTCAATTTGAAGTGCATTGAAAAAAAAAAAAAATGAATTGCCTTAAGTGGATATGCCAGTGAGTCTCTTTCTTCCCAATATGTTCGTTCTTGACTTAATTCCTGGGTATTCAGGCATTTCACAGAACGACAGTTAACATTTTCTTTTTTTACTCCTCCGTGGATCATGGATGATCATCTTTTGTGTTTGCGAGACTTGCAAGATTTGTGATTCTACAGTGAGCTTCAAAGCCATGACAATGCAATATTCAGGACACCGTTTTTAGCATTTCGATTTAAGGCACATGTTGTGAGCTGTAGTTCAGATTGTATCTGCCAGAACGCTGAACATGTCAGATATGCGCCCGCATTTCTTGAGCAGTTGTTTCTCAGACTTTTTCAGCATGCACTCGTTCTTATCTTTTACTGTGCGTCAAGCACCGCCATCATCCTGACTTGCCTAAACATGAGCATACAGAGGTATTTTCCTTATTCTTTTGTTTCCACTGAGATAACCTGATTTAACTTGTGCATTAAAAATCCCATCATGTACCAGGCAATGTCTAGAAATAATAGATAATGTTGGTAATAACTTATGTGAAATGTATCAAATAAAATTTAACAAGTTGAAGAAATACAGCTACAAAGTAGTCCATGCCTTATTTTGGCGATAATTTATTGGATTTGACTACTATTTGCATTTTCAACACATGGCAAGCAACATTTAGAGAATATATATAAACTTCGATGCACTTCTGTAATGGTTTTCTGAAACGTATGCATGCAAGTCGCTATGGATATTTTTGGATTTCTGTAAGTTGTACTGTATCTTCTAACATACCTTCTGATGTTCATTCATGTTTATTCCGTGCCTTGAGTAGTAAAGCGGAAGAGATGATCCTTTCACGTGCACTTCTCTTGATCTGGTAGCAACAGCGATCTGTCACCACATTAAAGAGCGCAAAAACGGTGGTTTTTGATTATGATTTATAATGCTTTCAGCTACCAATATGACTCAATTACTCTCAGTTGATTTAGACTTTTTTTTTACCATGTTTAAACCCAGCTGAGTTTAGCCAATTGTTCACCAGTTACTGCAGGAGTCCACAAATTGAGTCTGTGAAAGTTTGAGAAAAATCAGTCGAGTATTATTAGTAAATGTGCCGATCAGCCCAGGCTCCCAGGAAGGCAGCAAATGACGCACAACACACTGGAATGAGATCTGGATTTCATGAGGGCCAGATGTTCAGCTGTTAAGCGCTGTTAAAATGTATCAAATTTAAAACCTCTGAGCGTTTCCTTAATAGACTCACACCTACAACTAAGTAACAAACAATGGTAAATGTGCAACTTCCTTCAAACACTCATTTTATCACGTTTATCTGCTAATTTGTCCATAGAGCGTGAGTTTTTCGGTTAATCTCTGATCAAACTTCTTCTGAAAACTTGGTCATGCAATATATGTTCATGTGGGCTAATGTGCTGATGAATACCATATACTGTTGCATACGTACTTGTTCTTAAGCAAACAAACATAATCCAGCCCCCATGCTAATGTTCATAGAGAACTGCTCAAAATCAGTCATGCTTTAAAAACATTTCTGAATTCAGGAACATGCTTCTCTTACGATATGACTCAGCGAAAGTAAGAACACAATGTTTGCTGTGGGTTTTGTCATCTGCCGGTTTGAGCAGCGCTCTTTTGCATTACAGAAGCCAGGGTTACTGTGTGTCATGGTGGTTTGCCTGGCTCTATGTTTGTTTGGTCTGTGTTCTGCTGGAGGACACACCTAGCCTACAGTATATATGGTTGCCTGCTGTCCACCCTTCCAATCCACTCCCTGTTTTGCATTCAGCTTCATTTGAGAGCAGGAAATAACACTGTTCTTTTGGCAATTAAGTTTCCTGGAATAGACACCTAGACCTCTGAATGAATAATGCCAGGAGGGACATCAGCTCTGGGCTTTTAAAGGGAGGAAGGGTGATTATAACAGACAGCGGAGGTCAGGAAAATGGCCGTAGGTGACCCGTGCCTTTTCTAGTGCAATTACTTCATTACATTTAGAAACCTTGGGCATCCTTTTCTTTATTACCACTGTTGTGTTCGACTGAGATTGTAAGACTTTTATTGCCAATTCATATAGCACAAAAAGGGTTTAAAGGGATAGTTCACCCAAAAATGAAAATTCTGTCAGTAATCACTCACCCTCATGTTGTTCCAACCCCGTAAGACTTTCAATTCATCTTCGGAACACAAATTAAGATATTTTTGATTAAATCTGAGAGCTGGATCACTCCTCCATAGGCTTCTTAAGGGATCGAAACTTATGAAAGACATCGTTAAAATAGTCCAAGTGACTACAGTGGCTCAATCTTAAGTTTATCATCAAGTGATGAGAATACTTTTTGTGCGCAAAAAACAAACAAAAATAACGACTTTATTCAACTAATCATTTCCTTCTCTGTTCGGTCGTGATATTTCACGTAGTGATATTGCGCAAAGCTTCTAGGTTGCGTGTCACACGTAGGCTGACTATTGGCCGACGCTGGTCATGTGTGTGATGCGTGATTTACAACCTAGAAGCTTTGCGTAGTTTCACTACGTGAAATATCACGGCCCACAGAGAAGGAAATGATTAGTTGAATAAAGTCGTTATTTTTGTTTGTTTTTTGCGCACAAAAAGTATTCTCGTCGCTTGATAAACTTAAGGTTGAGCCACTGTAGTCACTTGGACTATTTTAACGATGTCTTTAATAACTTTTGGGCCGGCAAGTTTCAATCCCTTAAGAAGCCTATGGAGGAGTGATCCAGCTCTCAGATTTATTTAAAAATATCTTAATTTGTGTTCTGAAGATGAACGAAAGTCTTACGGGGTTTGACCAACATGAGGGCGAGTAATTACTCACAGAATTTTCATTTTTGGGTGAACTATCCCTTTAAGCTTTGCCAAATATCAGCTTTTTAATATAAATATTAATATAATTAAGGTAAAAAAGTGAAAGATCTCTTTAAAACTAGTTTAAAATGCATGTGCCAAGTTTGAACAAATGTCCACAAATGATTTTGTAACAACATTTAAATGTAATGTCTTTATTGAAATGAATGACCCGTTCCTTCATGGTTAATTATACCACATGACATTTTAATTTAAACCTTGCATGCATACAGTATAAGTGTAACTGTTTATTCTTAATTTAATGGTTGGCTCCAAAGGTTTCAAATCATGATTTTTCTAAAAACGTTTTTAATAAAATAGTTTTAATGAACCATATTAGCAGGATTAAAACAAGTGCAAATGCATCTTTAGTTTCTCTTCTGACCCAAATGTGATGAGATCTAAGAGGACGACACATGGATTTCCCCTTGTTTTCCATGTCTCATGTCTCTGATGCTAGTATTCTTCTTGGTGTCATCTGTTATATAGTTTCGCAAGCTGTTTAGTCTGACGAGCTCCCTCATTCAGCCGGAACAGACTGGGTCAGCTGATCCCGCCACAGTTCATCAGATTTCCTTTGCACTGCATCTAAGTTGGAGGGGCTGCTCCCAGACGGGTCTATAAATGATTGAGTAAAAGCCTCCCACTCTTTCAGCTCGGCGCTCGGGAGGTTACTGTCGTATATCCGCATCTCTGGACGCACAGAAAAGTCCCTTTGTCTTTCGTAGCCATGGCAACAGGGTCGCCGTGGAGGGTTGCGAGGGGGACTGGTGTCTCTTGTCAGAGCGCAGGCCTGCTCTTTCTCACTTCGGCCCTGGTGCGACTCCAAGCATCAAACAGCCTCTCCTGAAAGCCTTTGTTACGTGGCCTGCCATGCTCTCTTTACTGGTGCATTCAATAGAGCGCTGGAGGTTCAGTGTTGTCCGCTCAGACGCAGAGAGCAAGATCAGTAGAAGATCGAGTGGCTGTTTCAGGACAGACCCGGGGCTCCTTTGAAATCTATGAGCGTTGTAGGGGACAGATTCAACTCTTTCACACTTTTATATTATTGGCAGATGCTGTTTGCATTCGTGTTTATTGCTATTTTGGGTGTATCATTATTCTGTTCTTTTTACATCACGGTGTAAATGGTGAGCGTAGGGGAGAGATGGGGTAAGCTGTGCCGCAGAGCTGCACGATTCTGGATAAATTGAGAATCGCGATTTTGTTTTTTCTCACTATTCTCTAATGATTCTGAGCAGACAAATAAACGAAATGGCATGTAATTCACTAGAGGTTCTGACAAAATGCTAGTTGCTGCAGTCTATTTGTTTAATGGACCTGAATGAATTATTTGCAAAAATCGGTTCAAATGAATAATTCAATGAATTTGAGTTTCATTACTGGATGAATCAGCATTTTTTTTAACGAATCTCTTGACTGAATGATTCAATGACAAATACATTTATGTCGCTTGTCGTATGATATGAGTGTAATAAAATATTTTTTTTAAATTCATGTTTCAAGGTAATTTTTATAAAGGTTTTATAAAAGTTGCTCCATATGATGTTTTTATGACAACCTGAACTAATCCACCACATGACTTGATTTGGTGGACAACAGTTTTTAAAAGTGTGTGTGTGTGTGTATATATATAATGCCAAACCATTTAAGGTTTTCCTTTCAAGAAAATAATGGTTTTAACGAGTCCTTTTTGTTTTTATAATATCAGGTTGGTTGTATCACCCTGACATTTAGTATTTATAGCTTTATTTTTATATTTTACAAATTAAAAGCATATTCCTCATACACAAGGTGCAATCAAGTTATTGCTTTTGAAATTGGAAGCATCTGGGAGACGTCACAGTATTAAAATTATTCTATTTTGCTGCATATTATTTGCATTTACTTCAATTCTGTTTTTGACAAATCTAAATGTACCTGTCATGTAAAAAAAAATTCTCTGACTTTCAAAACAAAAAATGTATTTAGCCAAATAATCATCACCAAAATGTCTTGAAACGTATCATACATTTAGTGGCAGTTAAATACTGTTAAGATGACACGTCAGTGTATTAATTCACAAAGAAGTTGACCAGTAAGCTGAAACCAGTGGGGCTCTGGATAAATCTTCATGCATGATTTTCCTAAAAGAAAAAGAAAAAACTTCTGTCAATCTGCTATATTAATATTTTACACCATTATAAACCAATATAGTGCTTGTGCTGTAGTGTAGGGAATTTAATAGCGCCTTAAAACCACCAGCGTGTCTGAACTGTGCGTTTCAATTTACCCCAGCCTCTAAGTGTCTTAATGCGCCATAATAACATTAATGTGATCAAATGTTCTCTTTGACAAATGGACTGAGTTGCTCAAAATTGTCTTTTTTTTTTTCTCTCCACAGTATGAGATTCTGCTCTGTGTCCAAGACCATGACGATCCAGCCATCGATGTTTGTAAAAAGCTTCTGGGCAAATATCCGAATGTTGATGCCAGGCTATTTATAGGTAAGTCTTTGATTAATAATCTCCCCTTTCTGTCAAATGAAGCCAGTAATGGAGAAGCATCAGGCAGTTTGATGCTGAGGCACATCTCGTCTGTCAGTTTTGTTCAGTCGAGCGCAGGGAAAAGGCAGGGTCTCTGAGGAGTCTCTCCAGAGGAGCGAAGGCCACCCGCGTGTGCGCCGCAACTCAGCTGTGTATATGCAAATGCAGCTCTTGGAGTGGATATTGATTCTTGCTCATTAGGAACAGCTGGTGCCTCTCCGGGGTGCTGTTTTTCGCCCCGCTGCCTCCAGCCAGTCAGGGGAGCTGGGCTGTCCCGGAGATGGCATCCGCTGCTTTGCACTAACCTGAAGCCATGTTAGAAAACATGTAACGTCTGCCAGGTTGTGTTGGTTTAAACATCTCCAAGTTGTTTGCCGAAGCAGCCAATCAGATGGCAGAGAAGCGTGCGCTGTGAAGTGCATTAGTGCTCTCAGAGGCTTCGCCGCCAAACGACCTTCAGGTGTCCGACCCCCAAAAGAACATCTTCATTCGGACTTATTATATCTGCGTTATTGATGGATATTAGGCCTGTTGTGGTTTATTACGTAATTGCTTGATCATGTTTATTTATGCTAATTTCTTCTTTTATTATTATTATTGTCAATAAATATAACTGTTATCAATTTGCAATTTGGTTTCCAGTCATAGATTTTAATTGAATATATCATTGTAATTAAATTTGAACAGTATGAACATAACTCGCTCCATAATTCACTATTAAAAACCATTTTCGCTGGTTGAAATAAATGTAAATATTAGCTGAAAAACCTATAAAAAATAGAAATGTTGTATAAATATATATATATATATATATATATATATATAATGAAATTAAAATGAAAACGGAAAATATAAAAATAAAGCTATAAATACTAAAAAAACACTGATATGAGTTATGATCTCTATGGCAGAGTTTATCTAGACCTGGGATGGGGATTGTTACAAAACGGCAGAAGGAATAATCATGTTTTTTTTTTATTACTATAATATAATATTCAGGTGGACTGTGAATCTTAAGTGGTCCAAAAAAATATTTTCTGTATCTAGAATATTATTATTCATGCCATTCTACTATGAAAACATCTCTAACTGACAGGAAAAAGAAACTTTAAATGATAACCACAATAATTTATTTGTCCACATCCAAATTTAGTCATTTATAGCCCTAATGGAGGTCATTATTATTGACACTATCTCTTTATCTTCTTTTAGGGGGAAAGAAAGTTGGCATCAATCCGAAAATAAATAACCTCATGCCAGCTTATGAAGGGGCAAGGTACGAACTCGTCTGGATCTGTGACAGTGGCATTCGAGGTAAGTTTGCCCACCCCATGATCTAAGATTATTCCGATTATTAAAAAACAAAGTGTTTCAGTGAATAGTACATTAACTGTCTATTGTAAAGTTGTCTTTAAGGGTGAATATTGTACAAAAAAACAATTCTTTACTATAACCGGTACTTTAAAAGAATAATGGTGAAAAATGAGCAAGACATGTTTTGAAGAGATACACCCTTGAGACGCTGTCAGCGCTGATCATGAACTAATATTCCACAGTGAAGCCCGACACTCTCACTGATATGGCTAATCAGATGACGGAGAAGGTGGGACTGGTTCACGGCCTTCCTTACGTGGCAGACAGACAAGGATTTGCCGCCACATTGGAGCAGGTCAGAAGCCTTCACAACTGACCTTCCAAATTTTTTGCCGGAACTTGTCTTGCCTTGGTTTTATTAGACTGCTTGTGAACCGACATCGTTGCTTATTGTACGTGTGTGTGTGTGTGAGGAAGGGCTGTGTTCTGTCCTGTCACACTGCAATAAAACTGCTGAGTTGTGGCTGTGTTGCTAGTAGAGACACCAAACTTGAAATGGGACACCGTATGGTGGAGCTCCTCTGTGCTTCTGGACTTTTAAAGCTCTTTTGCCAAATGAATGCAATATTTTAAATTCATTATTGCTTTATTTATGAAGTTTTGTTTTTTTAAGCTCCAAAGTAAATTCTCCTTACTAAATATCTCTGTCGATTATCGCTTAAAAAACAGGCTTGAAGTCAATATTTGAACAGGTTAAATTGGCAGCCCTACAGATAATGGCCCAATGTGTTTACATACGTAATGCGATTCTTAGTGCATCAAATCTTTAGAGATTAATTATGTGGAATATAAACTGTTAAACTTGTCCCATGTGAAATCCTGCAGGTTTATTTTGGAACGTCACATCCTCGTTCCTACATCTCAGCCAATGTGACGGGGATCAAGTGCGTCACGGGGATGTCGTGTCTCATGAGGAAGGACGTCCTGGACCAGGCCGGCGGGCTGATTGCGTTCGCTCAGTACATCGCTGAAGATTACTTCATGGCCAAGGCCATCGCAGACAGGTTCGCCAGGCTGTTTAAACATCAGTACAGTGCTAATGGCTTACCATATCACATTCTGTCAGGCCATAATATATTTTTTTATATATATTCCTGAATCAGTGAGTAAAGAAAATGTCATTCTTTATAAGCATGCTTCAAAGGAATAAAAAAATAAAAAATGTGTAATTAACTCACCCTCGTGTAGTTCCAAAACATTGACTTTATTTCTTCCATGACACACAAAAGATGTTTAGCAGAATGTTCACGCTGCTCTTTCCCATACGATGAAAGTGAATGGGGTCGAGGCTGTCAAACATCATAAATGTATGATAAAACATCCATACCAAATATATACCAAATCTTCGGAAGCCATACGCTAGCTTTGTGTGACTAAAGGCTTGTTTAGTCAAGAGTGTCAATCATGAAACACAAAATTTGCTTCCATAAATATTCAGTTATAAGATTTAGGTTTTTACTCAACGATGGTTTCAGTTTTCAAAAAATGGTTTTCAGTTTTGATGATTTTCATTATTAATTGTATGCACAATTTTATGGTGCTTTAATAGGGCTTTTTATAGCTTGAGAGTCTGGTCTCCCAATGCTTTTATTGCGTGGAAAAAACATCTCAAGCTCATATGGGTGTGGAACAACATGAGGGCGAGTAAATGATGACAGAATGTTTAGCTTTGAATGATATATTCCTGTAATGCGTGTTCAGAACTATATCTCTCATACCGTCTTTTGCCCTGTAAAATGCCCTCTACTTGCTCGTTCATTGATATGTTGTTTCTCTCGCAGAGGATGGAAGTTTTCCATGGCAACGCAGGTAGCCATGCAGAATTCTGGCTCATACTCCATCGCACAATTCCAGTCTCGCATGATCAGGTACGGCAGTTGTTCAATCAGCTTTTCATGTTCGGTAGTGAAACCAATCTGTTTTCCTGATGGGACCACCTCCAGAGTAGTGATGACACTGGGTTATTTTTGTTGTTGTTTGCACTTTTCTGATAGAGTTGCAGATGGATCCCTGCCTATTTATATCGCAGCATTGTTAGGATCAGGGCTTGACATCTTTTCTTCTCACCAGCCACTGTGACTAGTGGTTTTCTTAAGTTACCAGCCACTCAGCATTTTCACTGGCCACAATTTTGACATTGATACCATGGGGGAAAACTGCCATATAGATCTTTTTCTAATATCTCATAATTTGGCTGCAGGTTTATTAGGCTGCTGTCACTTTAAGACCTGACGCACAGATCCATTATACTGTTACACATTAGTTTTCTTTACGTTCACTTAAAACATAACTAACTGTGTTTATGTGAATACTCGCCAAGACTGCCATTTTGACATTATTTAGTGTGTATTTAACTGTTTAAGCGCAATAAGCAGCGAAAAATAACTAAATTTAGTACTGAGCTGTCTTTATGGCTTTATGTGCCGCACGCCGAAATTCAAGCGAGAACGCGGAGCTGGTATCGAGTATCTAATCTGCGGGAAATGAGTATGGGAAGCATTTCAGATATTTCAGTAACGAAAAAGACCAAAGTAAAAAATGTATATAGGGCTTTTCACCCAGGTTATCGTTGTTCTAAACGCCGCTTTTAACCCCAGTTAAAGGAACATTTCACACTTTTAACCCGGGGTTATGAAAGCCTGCGTTTGCAGTGGTAACCCCGCATTGCTGTGCCAAACTTGTGTAGTGTGAAACCATGTGGTGTTAGAAAGTAGACACTTAGAAAGTAGACACTTAGCAACAGACAACCAATCACGTCCAAATTTGAGTGCTTTTGTACAGTCATGGAAACACTGCACATAAATATAAACTGTAAATTCAGCATTTGAGAGGAAGAACGTCAAATGCAGACAGACAATGCGACAATTTGAGTGAATAAGAGACCGTTTCATTCTTAGCTTTTATAGTCGGAAGTATTCATTCAGTATAAACTCGATAGTACAGTCGGCAATACGAGGATGGGCGATGCTAGAGCTTTTATGTAAACGGGTCATGTGCAGCGTTTATCCAATCAATGACACTGACCCCGCTAATAAAAACGCTAACCCAGGGTTTAGGAATGTACCGTGTGAAACGTCCGCTTATTAATTGTTAACCCTGGGTAAATTATGCGCAGTGTGATACTTGAAGCAAGATAACCCGGGATTCATTTTACCAGGGGTTTAGAATGACCCAGGGTTAACTATTTCAAGTGTGAAAAGCCCTCATGTTAAATATAAAATTCAACCTGCCAAAGTGGCTAAGTAGGAGTGACTGCGTTACACGCCACTGCTGAAGTCCAATGGCGAGTGTTGATGTCAAGCCCTGGTTAGGATCATATCTTGAATATTTTGATGATAGATTTTTTTGTTATATGCTATCCACTCCTTCATGATGTTTTGTTATGGCTTTAGATGGTATCATTTCCCATTTTGTGGCGTATACAATCTGCTGAGCTTCTCATAAACATTTCATTGTTATCCCCTCTGAATAGATGGGCCAAGCTCAGGATCAACATGCTGCCGGCCACCATCATTGAGCCCATCTCAGAGTGCTTCGTGGCGAGCCTTATCATCGGCTGGGCCGCGCACCACGTGTTCCGCTGGGACATCATGGTGTTTTTCCTGTGCCATTGTCTGGCCTGGTTCATTTCTGATTACATCCAGCTCAGAGGAGTACAGGTAAGACACTAAGTTCGGCAAAAAACAACGCACAACAAATCTGCATTTCAGTTCTGGCTCTAATCTGGTATAAAACAACCGTTTTTGATGATCCGATCAATTCCAAATGGATAAAATCAAGTCCTGGCCATTTTTTTTTCTTGGTTTAAATCCGGTCGCTAACCTCATTCCACTCAGAAATGTCACATTACTGAGGAAACATTGGTTGTTTCTTCATTGGATTTTTCTCGAGTTTCCTAGGAGAGTTTATAAACAGACATGGTTTTCATTTTTAACAACCCTTACTAGCAAAATCATAAGTTGTTCCTCACAGCCATTTTATATTGAATTGCCGCATTTGTCAGTCCTTTTTGTAATCTTTCTACTCTCTTTCCTCAAAGGGCGGCCCTCCATCCTTCTCTAAGCTGGACTATGCGGTGGCCTGGTTCATCAGGGAGTCCATGACCATTCAGATTTTCTTGTCTGCTCTTTGGGACCCCACCATCAGCTGGAGGGCGGGACGCTACCGATTGCGTTGCGGAGGTACAGCAGAGGAAATCTTGGATGTTTAAACGGCACCGTGTGCCAAGGACTATGCACTGGTGTAAACAAGGAAACAGAACTGCGAGAGGACGTGGGCGCAGATGGACAAATGAACTGAAACTCGTTTTGTTTTTTGTTCTGGGTTTTATTCCAACTTCTGATAGTTTTTATCCTGTGACTTTAGCAAGCTTGAATAGATTATTTATGTCCTTGGTGCTTTTTTGTTTTCCCTGTGAGGTCCCTTGACAGTTTGAGACCTCGTTCTAGATGAGCCAAAAGTTATGAAGGGGTGAAGAAGAGAAAACTTACGAGGAAACGATGTCTGGTGGCACTTCAGGAGACATCAGAACCCTGATGAAATCACATCTACATTCAACTTTTTTTTTTAAGGTCCTTGCAACCTGTTTAGTGGTGGTTGAACAACTCTGTGTATTGCGACATAGCCGTTTTATCATGTGTTTGGATGAACGGTACGGTTTTTAAACATTATATCAGCACGAAAGTGGGGTAGAGAATGACTGAAGCCTTTTAAAATGGCACTAGCGCATGAATGGATCACTTGCTTATCACAGTGTTGCTCCCAACATACAGCACTCTTGCCATATTTTATACATTTTTGGACTTTTGAATGCTCAAAACGGATCCACTCAGGTCCGTTTTATGTTTACTGGACAGAGCAATATCTTCTGTAGAGGTTATACATAGGAAATTGTGGCAGAGGTTCGTGTACTGTCGAACTATCCTGAAACAACGCAACGCTTTGCAGCCACCCTGCAGTATTCAAACAAGAGGTATAAAGGCCTAGTTTGAGCCCGAGTTATCTTCAACATGATATCTGCCGATTTAATTGCATATCTTATGAAATTTCGTGCCATTTGAAGAGCAAACGTTTTAAACGTTCTAATTTTTGGTTTCTTAAAAGCCGACACCACGGTTTTTCTTCAAGGACTTTATCTTCCCGTGCTTCTTTCTCTGCACTATTAGCTCTCGTACCAGAATCAGGGTTTGCTGAAACGTTTCCTCCCGTGCCGCTGTTTGTTTGAGAAGCTCTGTCAGTATTTTCCTGCAAATGTTTGACTGGATATAAATGCTCAGATTTACCTCTAAACTGTCCGAACATTTCATCCAACGCCATTTCAGCTATCCAATTAAACCAAGTTGTGTCGTCACTAAGAATTTGAGAAGTTCAAGTTAATATACACTGTTTGTTTTTTGAGTTATTGTGCAAAATTATTGGCAAACATCTGCATTTACGCTCTGAGACATTTCAAAACATTGCAGTCGCACAGTGTGCCTTTTGGCATTTTTAATTCCCCCAACAACGTAAGCCCCCTTATCTTCAAAAAGTCAAACAGTATTCACGAAACGATTGACATTCTTCTCCGCCTTTTTCCTCGAGGAACTGCTTGTGTGTTTCGTACTGTCAGCACTTTGCTGTTAAACCGCTCTTTCTGCATTTTTCCTTATTTCTTAACCGTCTTGCCCGCCTTCATGTGCTGCTGTGTGTTCATGAATCATACCCATGCCAGCACTGGCAGTATTGTTTAACAGATGATCTACTCATTTACCTGGACAGTTCAACCCTTCTTGTTATTATAAAACCGTAATATGTGATTCAGGAAAACGCGTTGGCGTGAGCCATGTGTCTTCATTGTCCATCAGCTGCCATTTAGGAAGTGATTAACACTGTTTTAGCCCAATGCCAAACCCTCCATTGTTTGAGTTTTTGGTATTGGTTTATTATTTCTAATTTGAATGCATTTGAGTTTGTTCTACTGAACACTTGGGCTGACCAATGGAAATATACTTAAACTTGTGTTTTGTGCATGAGGCCACAAAATGAATGCCATTTGTTGGTAACATTGCAGTTAAAGTATTAACAGTTAGCAATAACCTTATACATTATAAACTGTTATACTGTATTCAGGCTGTGAAACAAAAGCAAGCTTCCAAACCCATTTCTTTGTCCACTTGTGGTATAATAAACATTTCAGATTTTGTTGACCGTTTCACATGAATTGTTCCTCATACAAATAATGGGCATCATTCATGAAACACGGAACAAGTTTCTCGAAATTGTTAAAAAAGCATTCTTAAATTGTTACATGGAATTCATTTGTTAAACCATTCTTGTGTAAATTGTTGCGTTAAATTTAATCATTTGTAAAACCATTCTTCCGTAAATTGGAATTGGTTTAACAAATTATTCACTTGAAGGTGACAATTTCTATGAGCGGTTTTCTGAATTATTTCCAATCTAAGCAAGAAAGGTTTTCCGAACTATTCCATGAATTGAATAATTTTGCAAAACAATTCTTGCGTAATTGAATTAGTAGTTAAAACCATTTTTGCATAAATTAAATTCAGTGCTACAATTTAATGCTTTTAGGAAAAGTTTTTACTTAGGAATGGTTTTATGATTAACAAAAAAAAATGAATTCTGCTCTTGAAAAAGGCCCAATGTGTTGTTGATCTGCAGCATTGGTAAAATTGAATGTACGTTTGCATAAACATGTGACTTAACATGTTTTTTTTTTTTTTTTTCTATCACTAACACTTGAAATTCCACTGTAGAAACCATAACATTTTGTTTAGGGAAGGGGAAATCCTGCTTTTTCTGCAACTATCCAACTTCTGCTCTTCACTTTCAACCATATCTGCTGGCTCTTATTTTATATATGTGAAATATTGTGTCAAAATGTAACTTGTAAATTCACCTCATTTATGAAAAGTCTACAATGCACTGTAAATTTCCTGTTTAGACTTTTCCCTGGCTGTGAGAGAATGCTGTGTGTTTGCGGAAATATGCTGTTTATGGCCTTTTTTGATATGTCAATTCTCAAAGGATTGTATTATCGTAAAGTTCTGTGGGGAACTGGACTTTTTTCTTTTTTTTTCTCCATAAGTGTACAGTTGTATGTTTGTTGGATTAACATGTTTTGTAGAAGACTGGTGACCCGTATGGTGCCATGTGGACATGAGAAAATGTGTGTGTGTTCTGCACTTGTCAACCTGAGTACCAGCAGCTGTTTACTCACAACTACAGTCTAAAGAAGTGTGACAGTCTACGTGAACTGTATTACTGGATCTGAAACAATATGGCTATGTTTCAAGACTTACTGGGCTGCCTTTTGAAACAGACAATTTGTGACTCATCCTGTGGTATGATTGAAACATTACTACATTTCACTCATGATCAGTCTTTACTACAGCCCTGGACTCATGGTTGAACAAAGCGACCAAGCAAAACTACTGCTACATGTCTACCATCCACGGTCATCAATCAGAGTGCAAAAAAAGTCTAGTTGTGATCCACCGCTTTTATTTTACGTGCTGTAAGTTGACAAAAGAGCAAAGGAAAAAGCTTTTAACTTTCTTTTTTTTAAAGAGTATGTACAGTTTATTTATGAAGTTTGGTTGATAACCATTACATACACTGCTTCTTGAGGGTTAATTTATCATCAAGTTGTACATTTTTGTTTTTCCCTATGAGTTTGTTGTTCTTTTTTTTCTGGCAGTGTAAAGGTATGGCTGGACAGACTTCAGTTTTTGAATATTTTGTGTTATTTTGTAGATGTCGTGTACTGTACTCTTGATGCTGAATGCGTAATTCACAGCTGGAAACTGTGTCATTACAGATAAATTAAAGCTTTATCAAGCAATATAAAAAGTTTCCTCCGTTTTTTTTCCTGAATCTCTTCTGTGTTTTCCTCATTTTTACCTTTGGAGTTGTTTTTCCAGACAGCAACATAGTGTTGGCCCAGATCCGGCCCACATCTGGGCTGTGGGGAATCCACATCAGTGTTGCCAGATTGGAAATATCCAAGTATCGTACCAGAAGCTCAAAAATGATCGTATTTAAAGAAAATTATCAGTTGACGGGGGATGTAGCTTTCATGAGGCACACACCCTTTTCTCTCGCTCTCTCCCTCTCTGCCGTGCTCTCTCACCTTCACTTTCTCCTCACAATCATGACGTAGATCCACAGCTAGATCAATGAGTATAGAAGCATTATGGTTACAATGACCTCCGATTGAAGTGTCACAAAATTCAGAAATGATCGTACATTTATGGGATTTTTTTTCATTATTGATCGTACAGAGGTCAAAATTATCGTACAAATACGATAATTATCGTACGTCTGGCAACACTGATCCACATGTACCAGGTGTGGGCCGACACTATGATGCTGTCTGTGTTACCAGACACATGTCTGGTTTAAGGCCTGTTCACACCAAGAACGATAACTATAAAGATAACCGTAACAATAACTATATTAGCGTCCGCACCGGTGGACGATATCGTTCTGTTTATTCTAAGTGTGCTGCAGTTTTGTTGTCCGGCGCTTTAAATACTCGAGCTCGTTGCAGCAAGATAGATTCTGATTGGCTGCCAATGTTTTTTATTATTTATCAGCTGGAAAAACTTGTTCTGAAACTAATTCAAATTATCTAGTTTTGCTGTGCCGTTATCATTCTAGTTGTGTTGGGAACTCTGCTATTTTATATTTAGAAGATTTTTAGAACTTGTTATGAACGGGCCTTTAGCTGCATTAGAAATACAATAGTTCTTTTCAAGCAGATGCAAGTTAGTTCCTTGCCCTCTTTCTGACTTCCTGTGTGTTTGAGTTTGTGTGCCACCATTCATGCACCATATCACATGTTTAAAACTGTAAAATGCAATATCACTCACAGGATCTAGGCATGACCCTAATACTTGGTATATCATTCGAAGTTAGAAGAAAACTCATTTTATAGACACTGAGCTGTGCTTTCTAAAAGTCCTGACCTTAAAAATGAGGCATTTAGTGTTTAAATTGTCCTCCAGTTAGATTGAAGGAGGGACCCGAGACCAGAATATCAGAGAGACTTTAGGGTTGATTAAGCAGCCAGCTAGCAATGTGCTAAAACCCACTCAGAACAGCTTAGCATTGATAAACATTAGGGGTGTAACAATATGACCGATACTCTCATGATGCTTTGAACAAAGCCAAAGTAGTTAAAATGGTGTTTTCTTAATTATTACTTGTAACACATACTGTATGACAAACAGTTAACAAAAAGTAGTGTTCACTAGAATGCTGTATTTGGTAGATCAAGGGTGGACTTGGTTCTTCTCCCTCACACACAGTAATGGTGACACCATAATAGAAGCGGTACTTCACCGTGGCAAAATGGGCTTTCAATAAAACTTGGCTGCCTATACAGTAGAAAGGCAAAAAAAAAAATCATTGAAGTCGGTGCTACCTGATTACAGAAAACAGAAAAAGCTGGAAAACTTCACCCATAATGCACTGGGCATATTGCTATCCAAGGCCACGGCCACTAGTCTGCTATGGATACACTTACCAGAGTCAAATACCGCCGTGCTTTAGTAGGAAATACTTCTAAGCAAACTTTTAGTCATAATAGTGTCGATTTGTATTGTTCCCCGGTGCAAGAATAAAAAAAATAAACGTTCAGCTTTTGGTTTCCAATGAAGGATCCAGCGCATTTAAGGAGAATTAAAGAATTGTGAATGTGGAGACAACACCACAATGGGAAGAACAGCATTTGAACGGTAGAGTATGTATCAAAATTTCATGACATTTCTGTCAGAAAGCATGATCTGTTCAGCATTATTATTTTTTGTTTTATTTGTAGTAAAACCATGGTTAATTTTCATAGGGGATTTGTTGTGTTATTACAGGGATATTTCACCAAAACTGCAACATGTTTTTTTGAGAATACACTGCAAGTCAGTGTTTTGAACCCTACTGACTCTCATTGCATGAACAAAACAGTTCTTCAAAATGTCTTATTTTGTGTTCAACAGAAGAAACCCAGATAGCAAATGACACCTGGCCCAGTTGTGGCCCACATCTCCCACATTCTTCTGGCCCGCATACGGCATGGAATGATCCTGCGTGAACACATCCTGACTGTGGCTGGCATCCGGGCCTCATCTGGGACAACTATGGCACATATGGCTCAGTTCTGGCAGCGGCAAAGGTCACATATGGGCCACATACAGCAAGCCACAACTCACACTAAAACCGGCTCGATGTGTGTGTGCCAGATACGTCCCATGTGACCTTTGCCGAACTGAGCCATATGTATGCCATCTAAGAAACGTTCAACAGGTTTGGAA